TCATCATCGTCATCATCAGCAGCAGCAGCATCATCATCATCAGCATCATCAGCATCATCAGCAGCATCATCAGCATCATCATCATCATCAACAGCATCACCACCACCACCATCATCATCAGCATCATCATCAGCATCATCATCATCATCAGCAGCAGCATCATCATCACCTTCATCAGCAGCATCGTCACCACCATCATCATCATCAGCATCAGCATCATCATCATCATCATCATCCTCATCATCCTCGTCCTCATCATCATCATCATCAGAATCAGCATCATCATCAGCATCAGCATCAGCAACAGCATCATCATCACCAACAGCATCATCATCAGCATCATCATAATCACCATCATCAGCATCATCATCAGCATCATGATCATCATCAGCATCAGCAACAGCAACATCATCATCATCATCATCATCATCATCATCAGCATCATCATCATCATCAGCAAAAGCAGCAGCTTCACCATCATCATCATCATCATCATCATCATCATCATCATCATCATCATCATCATCATCAGCATCATCATCCGCCTCGTTCCTCCTCCTCCTTCTTCTCCTCATCCTCTGCCTACTCCTCATCCTCCTCCTCCGTCTCGTCCCTCCTCATCCTCCTTACGTCCTCCTCCTCCTCCTCATCCCCCTCCTCGTCCTTCTTCTAGCCAGCGCCTTCTTCCATGTCCGCTTCCTCATCATCCTCCTCATCCTCCTCCTCCTCCTCCTCCACCTGCTCCTCCTTCATCCTCCTCCCTCCGTTTCTCCCAACCTCCTCGTCGTCATCCTCCGACTCATCCTCCTTTTCTCCTCCTCTGCTTCTTCCTCCTCCTCCTCCTCCTCCTCCTCCTCCTCTTCCTCTCATCATCATCATCATCATCATCATCATCATCATCATCATCATCATCAGCAGCATCATCATCATCATCGTCCTCTGAGTCCCCCCCCTCCTGTCATCCTCGCCCTCCTCCCCCTCCTCCTCCTCCTGTTCCTCCTCCTGTTCCTCCTCGTCCTTCTCATCCTGCACATCCTTCAACTTATTTGTTTCTCCTCCTCCTCCTCCTCGTCCTCCGCCTCCTCCTCCTCCTTCTCATGCTCATTCTTCAACCTGCTCGTCGTCATCCTCATCCTCCTCCCCATTCTCCTCTTTAGCATCGTCCT